CTTCTGTGACATAGTCTCTACCTATTGCCATTTTCCTGTATGCATGACAGAACCACCAACTTATTGGTGATATGAATTCAAACTTGATCATCCCCTATTCTTATCCACTACATCCAATCAATTTTTAAGTCCCATAGAATTTTCTTCCACATATTTCTTATTTTAACTTCCTCTTGATCCTTTCCCACTGATGGTTGCCCTAGTTCAATCAATCATTTCTTATTGCTATAATGATGACCAATTTTTTTCAGGTATCCAGTTTTTCTCTATTTTCTCCAACTTCCAAAGCCATTATAATACCATGTAAGTTTCCAAGATTCTTCGGTTGCTAGAAGTGAAATCTCCCTTTTTGGAAATCTCACTCTGTGTCATCTTACCTCACATAGGTAACTGTCATTCTCACATTTCTCTTTGAATTGTAAAAATGTCTTTTACCTTGACTAAAACTAAGTTTCTTGAGGGCAGAACTGTGTTTTTCATATACGTACTTGGTATTGCCTTCAATAGAGAAGGCCCACAATAAGTATTTGTTAAATGGAATAATAAATTTTCTACCCTTCCTTTATAGCTGGTAAAAACAAATTTTCACAATTCCTGTGTGAATGTCATGGCCTTTCAGAGTTGTCTTTTTCTTCTTCTTCCTCTTCTTCTTTTAAAGAAGGAAGAGGAGCATGTTCTCTTGCAGCAATAGCTACAAGAGCTTTCTAAATTCTGGGAAAAATAAATAGTGGCATCAAATAATCCCACTGACTCAGACTTAATTCACACTGTCCCTAAATAATCTCTCTGTGAAACCTCTCACTAACTTCTCCTCCAGAGAATTTCCATAATCAAGTGATCACTGTCTAAACAGAAAGACAGCAAGGCAAAGCCCTTCCTCTGTCACTTCATATAAAGTAAATAGTGATTTCTTAAGCACTCTAGCTAATCCTGAGGATATTTGTTTTGTGTGTCAATGTGACATAATGGAACTTCAGAGCATTGACCAAAACACATGGCCTTTAATTAACTATATGATTTAGTATGACTTTCTGAGCCTCATTTCTTCACCTGTATAATGCGGGTAGAAATAACACAGCTTACTAGAATGAGGGGATGAATAACAAAGAAATGTATATAAAACGGCTTTGGTAACTACAAATAGTGTATAAAACATTGTTAATTATTCCAGTAGCTTCCATATCATCTTGTCTCAGTGAACAAAAGGATAGCAGCAACTTTCTGGCTGTTAAGTTCTACATGATATATCATTTAATGAAGCACACCTGAATGACAATGACTAATAATGTCTTCCCTAATCAGCTGTGTCAAGGTGAATTCTTTCAAACTGGTGAAGCATCCATGTCTCTAGAATTCTCTTCATGTGCAGAAAATAAGACAGAGATCATAAGCACTCCTTCTAAGTGATTTCAAATTGTTCTATACCCTGGAGTTGAAATAGAATCCTAGAGAATAGTTCAATATCATATTCTTAATTATTTTGAAATTGTAATTGCTAAGTCACCTCAAATTCCCTATAGGACATATTGAACCATTAAACAAAAGCATTTAACTTTATTTCTGAGTATTAGACCTTTAGCACCATGCGAATAAAAATGTAGTTAATATGTAAAATATATGTAAAAGCACCAAATATACTAGAAAGTGTTTCAGTGGTGCTAAATCACCTGTACATTTACTTTACATAGATTCAATCTTTATGCTTAGGGAAGAAAGAAAAGGGAGGAGTCAGGGGAAAGGGAGGAGGAACAAGGAAGGGAGGGTATGGCACATTGTTTTTCCCAAAGGTAGATAATATAGTGTCTCCCAGCCCATATACAGAGTGATCTTAATCAAAAGGAATAGGCTATTTCTCCACCCTTGCTTACCAGGTTGGTAGATAAACCAGTAGGTTTCAGTAGAGGAGACACTATGACAGTTCTACCCACAGCCCTTAACTAGCCTGGAAATTTCTGCTTCCTGCCCCTTAGAATGTTCACTGTAGGCAAAATCAAATGTCATACTAAGTCCTATTACCCTGATACTTCCATTTAGTGAGGAAGCCCAAACTAGTCACATGAAGAGGCTGTATGGAGAGATTCATCCCAGCCATCTCAGACAGGTGAGTGAAATGTCATCTTGCACATCAAGCTCAGCAGAACCTTTGGATGACTCCAGTCCCACAGCTATCTAAGTGAAATTGTATGAAAGACTCTAAGTGAAACTTTCCTGTTGAGCCCCAGTCAACCCACAGAACTGTGAGGTATATTAATAAAGTATTTTAAGCCCTTAGGTCTTTGATTTATTACATAGAATAGATATTTGGGGGAAGGGGGTGGAGAGGGATGTAACTCACATATTTTACTGCCATTCCACCTGTTGGTGTCAGTTGAAGTCAGCCACTCAATTTGCATGGACCAGGAAGTGAGGATTAACTGTTTTAGTGCTAGTTAGTTTCCATGCACCTTACATACTGTATCTCATACTACACTGAAAGTGATCTAAGAATGTTTAAAGACACTGATTTTTCACACAACATGGCTATGAATACATCCCAATCACTTTATCTGGTGCTAAGCTGAAGAAACGGCCTCCCTTACACTGGAGGAAAAAAACTCTCTGCTGAGCTTATTAAGAAATGTAGGTCTCCAATACAGTCTCCTAAGGGATTTCTAAGGTTAATCTTGACTTAACATGTTTTTTGCCTTACAAGCTGACTTCAGAATCTCATAACCATGTATACTATGTTTTGACTTTAATAATGGCATTATTGATAATGATGATGATGAAGGAGGAGGGCAAGGATCACATGTCAATCAAAGAATAGATTTTGTTTAAAAATAGGCTTTTGCTACTTTTTGGAGATCTAAACATTAATGATTATTAACTGAGCCATAATTCACTTATTTAAAACCTTTCTATGCTTCCAGGAAATATATATATATATATAC